AAATTTGTTCACGCTCAATTTTGATTTTTCGCGGTTTGACTTGTGATTTTTGTGAAAGTTCAAAACATTTCCATTTTTGAAAGGAAGGCAAATTCCACTATCGCACAGCAAAAGTGTTAAGGTCACGGAAAACGTGATCGACTTCTAATTTCGAAAATGGAAATTATTTTCCATTTCCATATTTCCCAGCGAAATAAAACCTATTGATCCAGTTTTCTCCAATTGGGGTAATTGAAGCAAAAAGGTGTCCATCATAATTTTTTTTACAAATTCAAAGAGCTTTAAGGCCTTTATATTTTTTCTTCGAAATTCAAGTGTTTGATAAATGAAGTCAGTTTGTTTTTCAGTTTCCTTGCGTTCATTACTCTTTTCCAACTGTCAGTTGGCTATGTTTCCTTTTATCAGAACTATTTTTGCCGTTTTTGCTTGTTTGCGAAATTTGCTTTTCAGAATTTTATTGCTTCACTTGAGTTGTACTGATCAAGAAAGTCCTTTTGATTCTTAATAAAGAATATTCTTTTAAGTTTTCTGGATTCATCTGGTCTATATTTTTTCAGTGCTCTTTCTTTTCGTTTTTTTCTTCAAGAGTGGAAAAAAAAAATAATTTTTTGGTTATCCTGTTCATTGGCTATTTTCCCAAGTTTTTGTTGGCTATCTTCTCATTTTTTATCTATTCCATTCGTAACATATGTTTTTTAACCTAAAAGCTACTTCGTTTCAGCTCCTTGTATTTTAACTCAGTATATGCAAAACGCGTTAGAGTTTTGGATTGTTTTTACACTTGGGAAGAGGAGAGCAAGTGTCTTCTAATAAGTTGATACTTTTTTTGTGCTGTAAACAATTTCATTGTGGTTGCAAGTGCTGTTCATTTTAGTAGTTTCAGGGCGGACTTAAACGTTTTTTCGAAATCATTTTCTGTCGGCTCAACTGGTGTCTGCTCAAAGATTATCGTTCTGTTTCGGCTTCGTAAGTTCTGTTTTGTTACTAATTTATTTGCTTATAATGAAATTTCATTGAGATATACGAAATTTTATGGTTTTCAAATGTTTTTGTCGTATCGCAAGTGATGCGAAGCTCAGCTTCGCTTGTGTTGAAAATGATTTATATCAACTTTGTGCATATAAAAATTTAAAGTTTTCAAGAATGAAAGTGTGCTGGTTACCTTTCAAAAACTTCCTGACTGTGTAATCTTTGTACATTTTTTCAAAATAATGTCTCAAAAAAAGTTGGCGAAAGAGTATCTTATAGGTTTTTTGGAAAAATTCGTGAAGTCAATTTGATCTATCCATCTTTTCTTTTTTAAAAAAGTCACTATGAATGGCTATTCAGGTAGTTAAAAAAGAACTGCAACTGAAATTAAAATGAAGCTAAATATTTCAAAAAGTTTTTCACAATTGATTATCTTTAGGTGTCGCAAGCAACGCTTGTGTTATAAGATCAATATTTTTCCAACTTTATCCGCAACTTTCTTTAAACAGTTCTTATGTTTGTTTTCGGTTCAGATTAGCTTGGATTTAGAGGTTTCCATTGAATTTTGGTTTTTGCGCTTATTTAGCGGTGCTTTTGTTAAAAGATCATTTCGTTTTTTCCAACCTTATTGGATTTTTTTTCAGTTCGATTTTAATGGCTTTTCTGCTGTTTTTTTTTCAAAATCGTGCTACATTTTTTTCAGTAGCTAGTTTGTAGCCGCTGTTTTATTCGTTTTGATTGTAACAAATTCAGTATAGTTAAAATTTCAGTATAATTAAAAGCTTGCGTAGATAACGAAATCCGTATATCCGTCAAAATCGTGTCTGCCTCAAAGTTTTTATATCCTTTTACCCTTGCGATAAGCAATGGTTTTGCAACAGGGTACAAGACTTTTGCCATGAATAATTTTGCTCATATGATGATTGAAATTGTTGGCCAACTCTATCTGTGCTTCCGTCAGCTAACAGACAAGTTTTGAGCGTGTCTGCTTTTTAAATGCAGGTTCTATACGAAATCTATCTATTATATATTTAAATGTGGGCTTCACTATCTTGCTACGTTTAAGCTTTTTCAACGTATTTTTTTTGCATGTTTAACGAAAGAGTTTTTGCACGTTTAAGCTATGCCGTGTATTGCAATTGTGAAGAATTTCTTTTCAATTTTCCAGTTTGATTTCCAGGATTATTTCATCAATTTTGAAATTAGCAACAGAATAGTGGGATGCTGTCAGGGTTCTCCAGGGGTTGCGAATATGGTCTCCAAATTTGAACACCCAAAACCTTTTAGTTTACGAGATACGGCGATTTTTCTTTGGATTTTTTCAAAATTTTCAGAAAACTCAATATCAGAAATAATCTTCAACGTCGAAATTCTCAACACTGTACTTAAGGGCTGTTAGGGAATTTTCAGGAAATGCAACTTTTGCCTTAAATTAAGACTGCTCATATTTCTTCTCATTTTTTAAATAAAACTTAGATTTTCAAAATTCAAAAGAAATGTTGTAGTGCTCTCAAGAGTTCCAAGTTGCAAATCTTGCGTAAAAATGCGACTGCTCTTGTTTTCTAGATGAGACGTTTTTCATGTCTTTTTTAGATTGTTAAAAGAAATTAGATATAAAAAAATTCTTTAAATTCTCATATTTATAACCAGGGTACAGCAGTTGCGAATTTTGCTTACAAACATGAGTGCTCAAATTCTTGTAGTTTTCGAGATATTACGTTTTTTGTTATTTTTTAAAAAGTTTTCAGGAAACTTCAATTTTTTTTTTCAAATTTTGACTTTGCCTACCCTGCTGTTGGGGGCTGTCAGAGTACGCTCATGGGCCGCGAATGTTGCCTTCAAATGTTACTACTCCAATATTTCTAGTTTTCAAGATATGGCTTTTTTGTGATTCTTTCAAAACTTCAACAGAAAACTCAAATTTTAAACTTTTCAAAGTAATTTGAAATTCGTAACCCTGTAGTTAGGACTGCGAGGGTCATCTTAGGAGTTCCAAGTTGCAAATCTTGCGTCCAAATGCGACTGCTCAAATCCTTGTAATTTTCGAGATGTGACGTTAGTTGTGATTTTTTCAAAAATATTTCAGAAATCTTAAATTTAATTTGAGAAAACTCAATATTTGAAATTCCCAACACTGTAGCTGGGTAATGAGATTTTTCTCAAGAATTGCAAATTTTGCGTTCAAATGCGACTGCTCAATTGCTTAACGTTTACGAGATGAGACGTTTTTATGTCATTTTAAGATTCAGGTTTTGAGATAAAAACGACACAGAATTTTGGTTTTTCAAAATTTGAATTTAAAGAAATAGAATAGAATTTTTTCACATTTGAAATTACCAATCCTTTAATTGGGTGCTGCCATAGTACACTCAAAGGATGCAAATCGTTTTTCCAATATATGCGGTTTTATATGCGGTGTTAAAAATTCGAAGCACCGATGGTGCGTTACACGCTGGTTTGTTTTTAAGTTGGCTGTAAATTTACCAACTCTGATTTCAGAATGTCCGTTTTTTTCGTTTTTTATTTATTTTTTTCTTTTAACTCGGCCTAAAACATTTCTGATTATAGTATTATGGTTAAGCGATCTATTTTTGATTCTTTTGATGACCAGAAAGAGTTTTAATCGAAATGTTTTGAAGGGGAGACTTAATTGCGTTTGTTTTTTTTTAAATCGGCTCAGCTTGTGTCTTCTCAAGAATTGTAGGCTTTGCAACCGCTTTTTAAATTATGTTTCGATGCTAATTCAACTGTGTAACTTGGCGTGTTTTGTGCAAGGAACATCCTTCAAGACAGCTATATGAAAGCTTTTGGAAGATCGATTTTGTTTTTGTCTCAATTTCTGTCCGATAATTTCACATGCTTTAATTGTGTTGTATCGCAAGTAGAGTTATAGACACATTTTTAAGATTTTGGCGATTTTTAGCATACCAATTCGTTGTATTATAATCGACCTTTTGGTTTGAATTTTCAACTAATTTTCCAGTGTGTGATGTATTTTTTTTCAAGTTTTTGGAAATTGTTCTTGATTTTTTTTTATGCATAGCAAGTCGTGCGAAGCTCTGCTTCCCCTATGTGTCTATAATATATTGTGAAGAAGGGAGTAGCGATTAGATTTAGCTTTTCAAAGATGCGAAGTCCTTGAGCGGTTACCGAAAATGTATAAACAAGCAACCTTTCGATAAAGTAGCCAAATAACACTTTAAAAGCTTTTTTGTGTCTGTTATATGGCTCGAAATTCATTGTTTTACTTATTGAAAACTGGATCATAAAGCTTGATTCTGATTGGTTGAAATGGATCTCTTTAACAATATCACCCCTTTTGCCAAAGGTGGATATTCATTATTAGGTATAAAATTCTCTTATGCTTAACCGTGGAGTTATTTCTTTAAAGGGGCATATTCGTTACTAGGTACCCGAGGGGGGACATAGAAAGAGATCCGATGAAATTAACAAATGCGAGGGAGCTCTGAAGCTTTATTTTAAACATATTGCTCATTCCACGATTTGGTAATTTTGGGCAGCATAACAAAAGACCCGAGTTTTGAAAAAAAAAATTTTAATCACGTATCAAACTTTCTGCCCTGAATCTGAAATAATTGCGGACATCTCGAAATAAAAGTGACTAAAATTTTTATTCGGTTCATCCGTCGGTTGGAAACAAAATACAGTGTTATTTCTCTGTGTTGTGACTGAATGTTAAACTGTTTTCTCGCATAATTAATCTTCTGCGAAACATTTTACATGTAAATTTCCATGCTCGAACCTTGAATTTTAAAAGTAATCAGATGGCAGTTATGCAAAAAGGAAACATCCCCAGTGGTTGGAAAATTGACCAAGTCTCCCTTGTTTTGTTTTCCTCAAATAACAGTTTGTTGAGTTTTTTCACGCTCAGGCTGAGACAGAAATGCAATTACATGCACAATGCATCCTGTCTAAATTTAAATGTTCATCACTGAATTGAAACAATGATTTACGATGAACGATCGTTCCAATTGTGGTGTGTGGCTGAGAAGGACTTCATTTTGCTTTAGTATTCTAACGTCAGTTCTATTTTAAGACTGCTTCAGTTGAACGGAGTGATGTTCTCGTTCAATTTCTCATCGGTTAATTATTTTCAGATCTGAAGTTGTAGTTTAATGCCAAAATTTTGACATTTAAGCTGAACTCTGAAGAATGCCATTTAGCACTGGAAATTTTGACAGGTTAGTTAAATGAACAACTATCGGGCTAAGATTTATTGGCTTTTTGTTCCGACCATGTCAACTGAAAATGAGTGGAAGGAGCTTCGGCGTAGGGTCCGTTTTTTCGAACAAAAACTGACGACCTCAAGCCCTATTAGTCCCTATTAGTCGTGATTGAGATTATGAAAAAGTTGTCTTTATCGGGAAAAACTAGCTTGATTTTTTGTTTGTCAGACTAAGTAAGTCGAAGTTTGATGTGAGGCTTGTCTCATATGTTTTTTTTGGGTACAAGTATGATTGTTGGGTACCTGAAAAAAAAAGCAAGTATGAAATATGGGTCCCGCAATTTTTGAGAAAGATTCAAAAACAAAAGTAAACAAATTCTGAACCTGTTCCGAAACTTTTTAAGAACAAAAAAAATTCCTACAGGGACTCCATCTACTATTTAGAGAACCAACTATCATATTTGTACCGTCCTTTTTTACTGCAATTTCAACGTAATTTTAACTATAGTTACCGACCGTTCTGTCTTGAATTCAATCGCTCTTCCTAAAAAAATACCGAAAATTTTTTTCTTTTGAATTAATTTTTATTTTTCAGTCTGTTCGGTTTCAACTTTCTGTGCTTTTTGCACAGCAACTGGCTATCCTTGATAAATTAAGAAATTGTTTCTTCATCAATATGCATGCAAAAAAACGCCGGTATCTGTTAAGTTTATTGTTGAGATTTCAGGTTCTAATTCGCTTCTTATGAATTTGTTTTGACTGGAAGTTGCTCGATAAATACTGTAACGCTAGAAAAACTCATTGATTCATTACGTTTATCATCCACGACGAATGCTAAGTTAGTGCGGAGAATTAACCCATTACCTACCATCCATAAACCTAAAATTTAGATCCCACTTTTGCTAACTTCTTGATCCTCCTTGAACACATTACCACGGTGAAAACGAACTTCCTGAAAACTTACTGGAAAACTCTCGGGCACAATCTGGGGTGCAGCAAAAAATTATTAATATAATGACATTGGGCGTACTGTTCTGAATTACGCAGCTCGTGTTTGGTGGAAACCTTCATTAAATGAATCTTTTTGGGATGAGCTTCAAGATCGACAAAACACGGCACTGAGAATTGTAACTGGCTGAACAAAATTGACTACAGTTAAGCATCTTCAATGTGAAACTCAAAAAGCTGCCCGCTAAGGAACATAATAAAATGTTTAGCAAACAACTGGCTGTCATTAACAAGAACGATGTGACTACCATGCCAAGCACAACTTATTGTCGAGACCAGGGGCGGATCTAGGATTTTCTCGAGGGGGGGCGGATTTTCTAAAAATTTTCCAAAATTTTGACGACTTTTTTTTTTAGGTCGACCAAATTGTTTTTCGAGCTCTACCAAAGTACTGTTTTGCCCCTATTTTGGCTAAATTTTGCAACGATTTGAGTTTGAGAGGTTTCGATGCTTCCGGATCATATGAGACGCGGCGATATTTTGCTTAAGAAGGAATACAAATTTTGCTTAAGTAGCCCCCGTTCTTATTGACTTGAGGGGGCTACTGGTGGTTTTACATTGAGGAACTTAACTTCTACTGTTTTATCACGATTTTCGATCCTGCAGAAGGCAAAAGATGCGAGTGTAAGTTCCGAGGCGCAGGCAAATTTTTGAAAAAACAGTCAAAAAAGCCGTTTTTGGGCACTTTTTGAAAAATTTTGAAAAAAAAATTCGCGTTTTTTTGGCGCGCGCTCCCCCTCAAAGTTAGTATATTTTTGGCGTCCGCCCCCCCCTAAATCAGCCCCTGGTCGAGACTTATAAAAAACAACGCTTGCCGAAAGTTTTAAACTCAAGAACTAGCTTAAAAAAAACAACCTTTCGCACACAAAAAGTTAGCTTTATGTCGTTGCTGAACAATTGCTCAAAGTGTAACGCTAGTCGACTACCTCTTTAACTGTCCTTCGAAGCCATTATCTTGTAAACTTGACGACCTGTGGGACAACCCCATTAAAGTCGCAAAAGGGCTTAACATACCAACATAGCTGGGCAAATGGTAGTTTTTCTCGGTTCTTCGCACTAATTAAAAACTGCCCATTAATATCAGGCATGGAATTTTTGCCCGGCTCTCCGTACCAAAAACTGCCCAAGGGGGCCTTCCCGCCGAGTACTGGATATAAACAAAATGAAGATACGTGTTAGGCGACCCTTCCTGTTTGCAGATACAACCAAGAACCAGAATGCACAGATTTGATTGGTCAACAGATCTGAAAACAGACATTTGATTGGTCAACAGTGCAACCAATAATACGGCTTTTTGACATTTTAAGTATTATATTGTGTAAGCAATGGAATCTCATATTCATGAGGGATTCTGTGTACTTTTGGTTGCATAATTGGAATATTCTGAATCGAACTACAAGTTGTTTTCTTTCTTCCAATGGTGAGATAGATGGTTTCTCTTACTTAGAGAAAAGCTTTGGGTGTAAAATTTGGGTCTTTTCATATTCGAGTCGACTTTGTGAATCTCGAATTAGCGGGCTGGAAATGATACTGTTTTTGATTGGTGCTACTAGGTTGAATTGTCTCTATATTAGTTATAATCTCGAGTTCAGTTATATATTTTTTTTCCAATTTCGACTTTATTTCGATAGGAATAAGTAAAACTACCCTGATTTCCATGCTTTTTTCTTCCAGACTGTTGGACAAGGCGACCAGCCAGATCCTACTTGAGCCAGATTGGGATGCCACTCTTCAGTTGTGTGATGCAGTGAGAGCGGGCGAAGTGACCCCCAAGTATGCGGCCTCGGCTGTGTCCAAGAAGGTTATGGACAAGAACTCCAATGTCTGTCTCTTTGCACTGTCAGTGGCCGAGTCTTGCATGAAGAACTGTGGAGCCAAATTTCACGAAGAGTTGCTCACTTGGCAGTTTGTGGAGAACCTACACAAGTTAGTGTGTTTGACTTACAGTTGCTTACAAGTTTTAACAAATTTTACTACGTTTTTCACTTGCAATCAGCTTTTTGTGCTATTACGAAACTTCTTTTTTTCTAACCTAACTCGCAAATAAAAGTGTC